CCCAAGTGCGAAGGAGCACGGCAGAAAAAAAACAGGAGCACGGCAGACAAAGACCAGGAGCACAGCAGAATAGGCCCCATGAGCGAAGGAGCACGTCGGGCAAAAAGCAGGAGCACGGCAGACAAAGACCAGGAGCACAGCAGAATAGGCCCCATGAGCGAAGGAGCACGTCGGAAACAAACCAGGAGCATGGCAGAATAGACTCCAAAAGCTGCGGAGCACGGCAGAAAAAGACCAGGAGCACGGCATAATAGACCCCAAGAGCTAAGGAGCACGGCAGAATAGACCCCAAGAGCTAAGGAGCACGGCATAATAGGCCCCAAGAGCGAAAAAGACGCCAGAAAATGACCAGGAGCACGGCAGAAGATGCCCCAAGAGCTAAGGACGACGGCAGAAAAGACCGAAACACCGCAGAAAAGGCCCGAGGAGCCAAGGAGTACGACAGAAAAGACCAGGAGCACGGCAGAATAGGCCCGAAGAGCGAAGGAGCAAACCAGAAAAAGACGAGGAGCACGGCAGAATAGAACCCAAGAGACAAGGAGCACGGCAGACGATGCCCCAAGTGCGAAGAAGCACGGCAGAAAATGACCAGGAGCACGGCAGAATAGACCCCCAGAGCTCAGGGGCACGGCAGAAAAAGACCAGGACCATGGCAGAATAGACCCCAGAGCTAAGGAGCACGGCAGAAAAAGATCAGGAGCACGGCAGGATAGGCCCCATGAGCGAAGGAGCACGGCAGAAAAAAAAACAAAGAGAGCACGGCAGAATAGACCCCAAGAGCTGAGGAGCACGGCAGAAAAGGCCCCAAGAGCGAAGGAGCATGACAGAAAAAAAACAGGAGCACGGCAGAATAGACCCCAAGAGCTGAGGAGCACGGCAGAATAGGCGCCAGGAAAGAAGGAGCATTGCAAAACACGACCAGTGACCAGGAGCACGGCAGAATAGACCGCGAGAGCTGAGGAGCACGGCAAGATAGATGCAAGAATACAGCATAATACGCCCCAAGGAAGAAGGAGTATGCAAGAAAAACACAAGGAGCACGGCAGAATAAACACCGAAAGCGAAGGAGCACGGCAGAATATGCCCCAAGAGCTAAGGAGCCCGGCAGAAAACGACCAGGAGCAGAGCATCGTAAGCCCCAAGAACAAAGGATTGTGACAGAAAATGGCCAGGAGCATGGCAGAGTAGGCCCGTAGAGCGAAGGAGGACGGCACAAAAAAAAAAACGAGCATTGCAGAATAGACCCCGTGAGCGAAGGAGCACGGCAGAACTGCTCATTCTCGGCCTTGCTCTTTTTTCGCCGGCCATGCTCCGCCCGATTTGTTTGAGGATGTATGCAGCGAGAGCGCGATTCTTAACACGAGAGGTAGTAAAAACGCCACTCCAAGATATCATTGTTTTTAGGATGTCTCAGGCGAGACGCTAGTTTTTGAACATCTGTCGAATTCGCGGCTTCCCATGTTTAAGGGATGTCGCAGGCGAAACGCTCATTTTTGATGACATCGATGTTGTGAACATTTCATTTCTGTAAGGATGTCTCAGGCGAAATCGCCATTTTGGCTCGTCTCGAGGGCGCTCCTGGGGGTCAAATTTGGGCTTGTTTGGGGCCTTTGGGGGCCTTCTTGATGCCTTACAAAACCGTTACAGTCCGATGTTACACACATTCATTTGTTCAGGATGTCTCTAGCGAATTCGTCATTTTTAGATGACTGGCTTAAACCATCTAGAAGCCTTTTCAGGAGCGATCCCAAGACGATGTTAAAACAGCAGTTTTCAAAACGATGTTCTTCGATTTGTTATGGTTTGAAGATGTCCCTAGCGAAATCACTATTTTCAGCAACCTTAAGGGCGCTCTTGGAGCCATGTTGTGGCCTTCTTTTGCTTCCTGATGCCCTCCTAAAATCATTACGATGCGATGTCGCACGCATCAATGTTTTGAGGATGTCCCTACCGAAATCGACATTTTTTGAAGGCTGTCTTGGGCCGTCTGGAAGCCGTTTCAGAAGCAAAGTCAAAACTATGTAAGAACAACAGTTTTCAAGTCGATGCTGGTGTATGTTTTCACTTTTTGAGGATGTCCCTAGCGAAATCGCTATTTTCGGAAGTCCGCCAATCGTTCTGACAGCCATCTTGACGTGCTTGTTGGCCTCTCATTGCGTCATCTTGAGGTACTTCGAGAACGATATCAAGACGACGTTGAGGGCATCTCATTTTGTTGAGGATGTCCCTAGCGAAATGCAAAATTTCTGCCGTGGTCTTCGTTCTGGTCCGCCGTGCTGCCGCTCGTTGTTTGAGGATGTCCCGAGCGAAATCGCAATTATTAACATAAGCGTTAGTTAAAGACTTCAGTCGTCATTTCATTTTTTGCGAGAATGTCCCAAGCGAAACGCAAATGTTCATAGACGGCGAAATTTCGCAGTCAACAACTTTCGAGGATGTCTCGAACGAAACGCTTGTTTTTGTTAAACGCGATGTCGCGAAGATCTCATTTTTGTGAGGATGCCTCACGCGAAATCGCCATCCCGAGGAATCCGCTAAGCCTCCATACCGTGCGGCGCGCCACCCCCTATAGTTAAGAGATCTCTTACTGATGCGAGGAGGATTCAGCCAAAACGTCCAGCTCGCTTCTCGTTCCTCGAAGACGCTTCCTGTCATCCGCCGACCCTGTCTGCGTGTGGAATGGGCTGTTCGTCGTGGTTGTTGTCCTCGTACGTGCTCGTCGTCTTCTTTTCTAGGTCTGTCGCCGATCCCCCCTCTTTCCCTGGGCCCTCGTCCTCGAGCGCGCCAGCCAAAGCGAAATGAAGCAACCCAGCCAAAGCGAAATTCTCAACGTTGTCACTGAGTCGTATGGAAGCCCCTTCAACTAGATCTCTTCCCCGCCGGGGGGGGGGAGGGTCTCGGGGGGGGGGGTCCCAGGGAGGGCCCCAGGGTCAGAATACCATCCCCTGTCTGCGTTTTTTACAAAAAGGGGCCCTCTGTATATGCGCTGGAGGCGGGGAAGGTCGCCACGACGGATCCGCAAGAGCGCCCCTCGACGGCCCAAGCCCCACAAGACAGCCCAAGAACGCCCAAGGACGGTCAAAGGAGGCCCCCAGACGGGTCAAAAGAGCCCCGAAAGGACTCTCAAAAAGGCCCGGAGATGCCATATTCATTGATTTTCGGAAAGGTTTTGTCCCCGCCCCCTCCCGCCCACTCCAAAAGACCCCAGAATGCCACAACGCCTCCTACTCCTCCTCCCCCCCCCTGCTCCCACTCCTCCTGCTCCTCCTCTGCCTCCTCCTCCTCCTCCTCCTCCTCCTCCTCCTCCTCCTCTTCCCTCATCCGCCTCCTCCACCCTTCCTCTTCCCCCCCTTTCTTCCTCCTCCTCGTCCGCCTCATACCCCCCCGCTCGTTTTCATCTTCGTCGTCTTCAGGGTCGGCGGCACCAGCCGCAAGGCCTGCGCCATCGGGACTTCATCCAGAATGCGGGGCGAGGGAGGCGGGGGTTCAGGGCTCGTGGTCCCCTTGTCCCCCGCCCTCGCGGGACTCTTCACCAGCTGGACCGGAGTTCGAGGCTGCGAAAGGCGGGGTGCGCCACATGATCCGGACACCGAGGCCTGCAACGCCTCGAGGACTCCAGGGCGCGAGGCGTTCCGCAAGGTTCGACGTCCAGGCTCCAGACACCGTTCTCGGGCCCTGGGGCCATCCGATGCGATCTTGGACGAGGACCCCATGCTCCACGGGTCGAGGCCCGCGGGGGCTCGCATCGACGACCTCGCCCAGACCCACGGCGTCAAGTTTTTGTGTGCCACGCTGTGGGCTCTAGACCTCTCGACCCAAGGGTCCGTTTCCTGATTTCGGTGGCTCTTTGATGTTGTGGCTCCGGGGCCCGAAACAGGCCTCCGGAGAACCAGGCTTGGAAGACTTGTTCACAACGCCGGAGGTCTGGGACCCCTTGCGTCATCCCCCCCTCTGGGCTCTCAGCGAAAAGGTCTTCCGTAATGGGGCCGGAAAATGCAATACTCCATCCTGTGGCGCAGGGCGCCTGGCAGCCACGTGCAAATATTGCACGACGTGCGTATCCCGCACGAACGATCGCACGAACTATGGCGCACATGTTCGACACTCTCTTTGCAAAGGACCCATAGCTCGGATTCGACATTCGTCCTCCCACATCGAGAAAAATACGGCGTCGTTCAAAAAATCACGGCACGACCGTCATGCCACGAGCCATGTTGTTCCGCGGAAATCAGTTGGTCCCAAACGGCGCGTATACGCTGGTCATGGCGTTCACACGGCGATGGACAGCGACGCCCCTCCCCGCAGCGGCACGCACAGGGCGGTAGGGTAAAGGGGGGAGGCTCCTTAGAAGGAGGTTGCTTCTGAGAGGTGCTGGTCCGACATTTCAGACAAAACCCGCGCCGTCTAAAAAAACATTTGTGTTTTAAGGAAATTTCCCCCCGTCCGTTTTACCTTTTTTCTGCGCGTGGCCGATCATTATTCGTCCTGCTGCCCCTCACGCAAAAGTCCCCCAAGAGGTCCTGCGGATACCTCCAAGGAGCCCAAAAGCCGGCCAAAGAACGCTCGACATCCTCGATATTATTGTTGTCCCTCTTGCCTCAAATTTTTCCGTCGACAAGCTACTCTACTCTTGCATGTGTCATCGCATAGGTCCGTCTATCGCTGCAATAATCTGACGCCGACTCGGTCCTTCTCGGGTGAACCAGCGCTTTGCTTGACAAGCGAAACTGTCGCCCCGCATTATCCTGTACAGCAAGGTCCTGTAGTGACGACCCAGGCGATGGTTTCCGAAAACGCATGGATCGTTCAACCTTCAACGATCACGGCGTTCCGATCGCACGAAACTGTTCGATGTCATTCGCTTCCGGGCCACTGGCGGTGATCAATTTTGAGCGCCCATGCTGGGTTTGCCGCGCAGTCGGCACGACACGCCTCTGCTGCGCATGCCCACGCGTTGACTTTGCCAGGGTGCGGCGGCGGCGGCAGAGGGCGGCGGGTTCCCTGTTCCACGTGGCCGCCGCCGCTGGGGGGTTGTGCCAGAAACTGCCCTCGTCAATGTTCCCGATGGACTGCCAGTGGAGCGCCCTCAGTTTGGGGCCGGACACCTGGCCGGAATGACGAGGGGGGCGGGGACGGAGGCGGGAGACGAGAGGTAAGGGCGAGAGGGGGCGCGTACAATGATGGTGGCGATGCTGATCATAAGTATGATGATGTTGACGATGATGATGGTGACGAAAAATCGAAGATGATGACGATGACGATAACGATGCGGATGCTGATGATGATGACGCTGATGCTGAACGCGACCAAAAGGGTCAGGAGCTCCCAACTCATACTGCCCTTCGGAACGATGCGTTTCCCGATGGCCCTGCGGAGGCAACGCGCGGTCTCGTGCCCAAGGCACCCACGCAAATTCACCGGAGTGCCGAGAAGCCGTCCCCCGCCCCAGCCGCAGCAAACGGAAAAACGACACCCGAGCAGTCACGGCGACTCAGCCCGCGACGCCCGCGAGCTGGTACGGGACCTCGAGTGGGATCCCCAGGAAAATGCTGGCCGCTGCGAGGGCGGTCCGAGAGGCGGCCCCCGCCTCCAGGAACTCGTGCGTAGACAGGAAGCCTCTGCCGCCGCCATGGCCGCCGTACTCAGCCTGCCCTCGCGTAGACTCGCATACTCTTCCGGGCCCAGGCCAAGCCTGCGTTTGCACAGGCCGTTCAGGCCCTCCAGCCGGTCCTCGCACACAACTCACGTCAGCGCCCAGGCCCACGCCGACCTCGCGTTTGTACTGGCCCTTCGGGTCCTCCAGCCCAGCCTCGAAGAAGCCCTCGTCCTCGCCCAGACAGAACTTGAGCTTGTGCATGCGGGTGCCACGAGGACGGCGGCCTCTACAGGGAGAGAGGAGGGGCCAACGCACCCAGGGAAGGAGTCGCAGAGGGCAGTAGCAATTGCCAAGTCTATGGGGGTCGTGGTGCTTGTTCCTTCCTCCTTCTCCTTTTTTCTCGTATCTGGGTACATCGTATGGAAGTATTCGAAACATGTATATGCGTGCATGTCGGTATGTACGTCTGTATGCATGTATGTATGTATGTATGTATGTATGTATGTACGTACGTACGTACGTACGTACGTACGTACGTACGTATGTATGTATGTATGTATGTATGCATGCATGCATGTATGTATGTATGTATGTATGTATGTACATATGCATACATACATACGTATGTGTATATATGTATGATTATGATTGTTGTCTCTCTCTCTCTCTCCCTCTTAGGAAGAAAGCATGTCCATACCGCTACCTTTGCCTCGGTTTCGTCTTCGCCGCCCCACTAAGAATTCGCCTCGGAACTCTGATGCGAACGCACTCCCCAGGGAGAGGCGCAGAGGGGGGCGGCCTTCTGCTCTGGGAAATGCCTGGGTGCTTATGAGACGCCTTCCAAGAAGCCGGGCAAGGGGCTTCTCAGAAGCGCCCCGCCTTCTCAGAAAGCCGCCCCCCCCCCCCGCGCCCCCTCCTCGCGCGCGCTACTCCGATCAGGCCAGGGTCAACCTGCTGAGCTCTGCACTGCATGCGCTGCCGGAGTGACGGAGGGCAGGGCGTTGGGCTCCGAGTGGGACGCAGAAGGACATCTGAGCACCCCGTTTGGGGGCGCACGTTCCAGTCAAACATGTCGTGAGCACTTACTATCGTATATCGTCACCAAGGCGGTATGGCAAGAAAGCGCCCGCCACCGAACATATACTAAACGAGTTCTGAGCGTGCGCATCGCACACAGCATGAACACAATTGGGTGGTGCCGACTGGGCCTCCAGACGCCGGACGTGATGAAACACATCCAGCGCGACTGCGCCGAGTCGACGGAGGTTTGGGTCCTCACGTTCCCCCCAATACGAGCGCGGAGCGAAACGGCGCCAGAGGCGCCACCCGGGGGGGAAACTGGGGAGGGGGGTTCAGCGCCGACCCAAGAGATCCGCGCGCAGACCTTCGAACGTTGATGGCTGTGTCTCTCCCTGCCACTCGACCTGCAACGGCCTTAACCGAAGCAGGCTGGTCACGAAGCGGGCCGCCCGTCACGGTTTCCTCGTGACGCTGGGTCAGAACCGTCCCCATCAAAGCTCTGGAGGCTCCCCCGGAGGTCACCACGGAGCATACCTCGCAAGCCTCCGGAGTTGCCCAGAGGCACGAGAGGGGCCAACAATCCAGAGCATGACCCTCCAAAACCAAGCGCTCACTGTGATGTTTCGTCGCGCCAGGGGCTGAGGAGGTGAGGAGGAGTGAAAGGGAGGGGGATAGGGGGGTGAGGGGGCGAGAAGAGAGGGGTGTATGAGGAGGACAGAAGAGGTGATGAGGCGCGGGAGCAGACCGAAGCACGGATGGCAGGTCGGGGTTTGCCAGAGGTGTCCCTGGCACAGGGTGCCCTCCCTGGCCCCTGGCCCAGGGTGCCCCAGATCACCGATCCCAGACATCATCCGATATCATCTCTCCCAGATCCGCGGCCCTGACCCTCCGGATCCCTTCCCCAGGGGTAGTTTTGAATCCCGAATCTTGGGAGCGGCCCCCTGAGGCCGAAGTGACGGAACAACGCCACGATTGAAATACTCATACAGCTACTACCATCAAGCACGCTAGGCAAGGACCAAAGCAACAATTTTGCCCCAAAGCGCCTGGGTGAACAAGGAGCGCGAGAGGAACGACCATGGAAGGACCTAAAGAACAGCGTGCCCCTTTCAGCGCCTCGACTGCTCTGTAGCAACTCATGGGAGCATCCCGTGTCATCTTGCTGTCTCTTGCGAGTCGACGCTCATCGACGCTAAACCGACGTAAATCGACGCTAGACCGCTGCTTGCCCCCACCGGTTACCACACGCTGGCGCACGGCAGTTCACCCTGAAAAAAGGAATTGCGAGGACATACATGAGCATCGTTTAACCGATCCCTATTCCCACTGGCGAGGCCTTGGCCCCACTGGCTGATCTAACCCCTAGATGGGATATACGCTGATCCCTTCGGCTTTCGAGGAGCATGTCCCCAACTGGGGTGGTGGGATGGTGGGGATCGGGATGGGGATAAGGCTGGATTAGACGATGCTGAAGACAAGGTTCCCATGAGTTGTTGCCGAATGAGTCTAACGTCGGAGGTCTGGGATGGCACAACGGCCGACCGGGGCGTGCCGCGAGAGCCGAGCGGGTCTGCCGGCGGCGCCCTGGCCCAAGGAGGGGAGAGGGGCGTGGGCGGGCGGCGGCGGGGGCCTCCTCCGGGCCGTCCCTCGGGGAGGCCAGCGCGCCTGCGGGGCAGACGGCGACGGCAACGGCGACGGCGACGGCGACAACGATGACGAGGGCGACGAAAACGAGAAAGACGAAAGCGAAAAGGCGGCGGCGGCTTGCGCAAGAAAAGGCTGCAGGAGTGCTGGGAGTGGGGGTCGTCCTCACCGCCTCTGGTGGAGGCAGGGGGACGACGACGAAGACGAGGACGACAACGACGGCGACGAGGAGGACAACGACGAGGACAACGACATAGACACTGAAGAAAACGATGAAGAAGGCCGCGGCGTGCCTGGGTGGGGGTCCCTGACTTCTGGAGCACGGCACGCAAATGTTTATCGACCTTTTGTTATCCCACGTGCCAGGGCAACCCGCCACGAAGACCACATGCTTGGTACTATTCCCGAGCCTGGCCGAGCCTAGGCCAGGTCGGGAGCCTGCGGCCGCAGTGGCAGCCAGCGAAGCCCCCCGCCCAGACTAGAATGCCTCCAATTTGGCATCCTGCGCCATCACCTTCACCTGGATGGCCGCGGTGTCGCGCGAGTTGGTGTCTACCGTGCGGCGTAGGGCGATCACCTGCGTCTCACCACCCTCCACGCGAGCGCCCAGGCTGCCACTCAAAGACTCGATGATGTACTTCGCTAAGCCGAGCTGAGCGGGGTCAGTCGGAGGTGTCGGCGGTTGGTCGTGTCGAGCACGGCCAGGGGCATCCGATGCCGCAACTGGTGCAGCGCTGAAAATCTCGGCGGCGTCATCGATCGGTTCGCCGTCCACCTAAAGCTCGCGCCAGCATCCCACTCTGCGACGCTGGTGGGGCGGCTCAGCAGCAGCTGACTCGGGCGCGGGAGCAAAGGCGCGCTCCGAAGCGGCAGCGGCCGTCGTCACCATCCCGACCGCTGCAAAATGCGCGCAGGATGGTGCCAGAGGAGAAGACTGGTGGGTTCGATCGCGACAAAACTGAAGCCTCAAGTCGAGCTGGGCAGCTCGGCACGGACGTGCGAGTCCAGTGCTCCCTGGGTACCGTCTTGAACCAAAATGACGACGACGACGACGAACGCAAGCCCTTGTCGTCAAGAGGCCAGGGCCACAGACGCCCCAACTGCGGGCCACTCCAACGTGGAGGGCCCAAACACGAACATCGGGTCGACGGAGGGGATAGCAAAGGGGGGATTCGCGAAGCAGCCCACGCAAGGTTTTCCCAACGCCTCCTGGCGCCGAAGGGCGCGCATGTATCGAAGAAATCGCCAGGGGCGAGGCCGAAACCAGCTGGACGTAGCGGAAGCTCATCTCCTCTTCCCCATCCTCCCCGTTTCGTCCGACCCGAGAAGAACAAAAGGGTACTCCTGCAAAACTGGCGTTGTGTTTCGTTCTCGTGACATCTGTATGTTTGGACGCCCAAACGGTGCCCAAATGTCCCAAACCGACAATGGCCGCTGTCATGCAGGCGGCCTTCTGTCTCAAATGAGCAACGTCTGCGGCGACGCCGACAACGAATCCTACTCAAAATGGGGAATACATGCTGTCGGTCTCTGTGCCCACTCTTTCCGTGACCCCGTGCACATGGTAATAATCCCCCGGAGATGATGAGCGAGGTAGGTCTTTAGACCCCCCTTCCAAGAGTGGACAACATTAAGTACCAGTTCGACGCCCTTATTAACGGACTGCGGCCCCAACTAATAATGGACAACAATGAATTCTCCGCGGCATCCGCCGCGCAAGGATGCTGATGATGATGAGGAGGAGGAGGAGGAGGAAAAGAAAAAAGATGAGGGGTGGAGGAGGAGGAAAAGGAGGAGGAGGAGCAGGAGGAGGAGGAGGTGCACAATTTATTGCCCGCCGAGAGAACCAGGAGCGGAGCAAAACTAAAGACCTACCTCGGTTATTGTTTGGGGCGGTGGGGATAATTAACATCTCGTGCTGGCAACTCGTCTGTGCGGAGGTAGGAATGGAAGCTTCGTGACTTGGGAAATCTGAATTGGTGAGAATCCCATAGTTCTGCCACGCGTTCGTGATACTGTAGATACTCAACAGAAGAAGAAGAGCAAATTCGATTCGTCCATTCCCCAGCGATTATGAAGTTCGGCCTCGCCGCCCCTCTCCCCCGACCAGCTCTGCTTTGGCCCGGGATAATCAACTCTCAGGTGGGAAGGGGTGAATGCTTTATTATCTGGGGCACGGGGTTAAACATCTCCATCGTCCCAACGCAAGGGCACCTGTCCAAAGCTGGCTTTGCTCTCGGCCCTCTTGCCAGCTGCACGTGCACGGCTGCCGCTCCCTATAGCAGGGCGCGCGAGAGGGCCGGCAGCAGAGGTCGCTCGCAAAGGCGGCGGGCGGCGCCACTTCCGCGCTCCCGACCCAGCCCATCCGCGGGTGCGGCGACCGCCGCTCACCGCCGCGCCTCCACGCCCTCGGGCTCGAGCAGCAGCACCACCTCGTTCCAGCGTAGCACCCGCGGCGTCGCGAAGGGGTCGTGGTACTGGTGCACTAGCGCCCCCCGCCCAGCCTCGGGCCGGAGCCCAGCGGCGGCCAGCGCCACCTCCATTGCGCTCTGGACGCTCGCCACCTTCGCCGCCGATGGCGGCCGGCCGCGGAACCCGACCACCGCCGCGTAGTGGGCGGGCACCGCGCGCAAAGTCACGTTGCGGTTCGTGGGCACGGGCAGCTCCGACAGCCGGGAATACTTCGATGGCATTGTGAAGGACACCTTCACGATGCGGCCGGCGGCCTCCTCCTCGCCGCCGCCGCGCCCTGCCGCGCTGTCCGTCTGCTGCACCACAGGCGCCGTCATCGCGATCTTCTCGGGCCCCTCCGGGCCCGCCGCCATCCAGCGGGGCACCCAGCGCCCGAGCTCCCCCAGCCGCCGGCGCTGGCGGTTGCCCCCGAAGATGTAACCCGCCACTTGCCGGAAGCCGAGGACCTGGCGCTGCTCCGCCGACAACGAGCGGGGCAACAGCACCTCGGCCACCAGCAACGGCGCGTAGCGCCGCAGCTCCACAGTGAGCGGCCCGCCCGGTCCCTCGGCCTGTATGCTGCCGACGGCCTCGTGCGCCGGCCGCTCGCAGCGCTCGGCCAGGCGCCAGAAGAGCAGCGGCAGCGCTACCCAGCGCGCCAGAAGCGCGAACGCCCCACAGCACGCGGCCAGCAGCAGGAGGCACCGCGCAGGCCGCAGGCGCGCGGGGCCGCCGGGCCACGCCGCCATCGGCGGCCGCGGGGGGCGTCCCGTAGCGCACGGCGATGGAAATTTGACCCTCCTCGTCCTCCACCTCCTCCTCCTCCTCCTCCTCCTCCTCCTCCTCCTCCTCCTCTTCCTCCTCCTCGCCCTGCTGCTCCTTCTCTTGCTCCTCCTGCTCCTCCAGTTCCTCCTCCTCCTTCTCCTCCTGCTCCTCATGTTCCTCCTCCTCCTTCTCCTCCTCCTCCTCATCCTCCTCCTCATCATCATCAGCAGCATCAGCATCAGCATCAGCATCAGCATTATCATCATCACCAGCATCATCATCAACATCATCATCGACATCATCACCATCCTTATCAGAATCACCACCATCATCGGCACTTTCATCATCATCAGCATCATCAAATCATCATCATAATCAAAATCAGCATCATCACCACCATCATCAGCATCATCACCAGCATCATCATCACCACCACCGCCACCCTCATCATCATCATCATCAGCATCATCATCACTTTCATCATAATCAGCATCACCATGACCACCACCACCACCACCACCATCATTATCATCACCATTATGATCCCATCATCATCACCATCATCATCAGCATCAGCATCGTCCTCATCCTCATCATCATCATCATCATCCTCATCATCCTCGTCCCCGTCCTCGTGCGCATCCTAATCCTCATCATGAATAGATCCTGATCCTGCTCCTGCTCCTCTTCCTCATCCTTTTCCTCCTCTTCCTCCTCCTAATCATCATCCTTGTCCTCCTCCTCCTCCTCCTCCTCTTCCTCCTCGCCCTGCTCCTGCTTTGCTCCTGCTGCTGCTCGTGTCCCTACTCCTCCCGATGCCTCTTCTGTCTGTTGCCCCTTCCCTTTCTACTTCTCGCCGTACTTTTCATTGCACTTTCCACGCGTCAGTCTCAAATCCATTCGCTGAACAAAACGAGGTGGGCAAGGACGCGCCTATGCGGTCCTCCTCTTCCTCCTCCTCGCTTTTTTTCTACCCGAGATTGAAGCCCACTCCCCCCCCGTGGCGGCCCCATTTCTGTGACGACGTTCGTTATCAGTCTCCTCGGAAGGCTACGTGCCTCTTCTTGCTCCTCACGTTATCCTCTTTCTATCCTGTTTGCTCCCCTGCATGCACGGTCCACCTTGATCTGTCCATGACCTCCAATGATGGAGCAGCTGTCTCTGCTGTCGTCACAAAAGGGTGGGATCCTTCTCCTTGTTTTCCTCCTCCTGGTCATCCTCCGTCGACCTCTTCAACATCCTTATTCCCTACCCAGGCTCTGCCTAGAAGGGCTCTTACCCTCTATCTTAAAAGGGCCGGACAATGCTCCCCGCCCCGGGCGGTTCCCCCGGCATCCGCCCCGCGGTTCTCCCAGTTACGTCTCTCTAGCTTAGCGTAGCTTATATCATGCTACCTTTGCATATTTCATCTTTACGCAGCTTAGCTTCATCGCAGCTCAGAGTTAGTCCCTACCTAAGTTCTGCCTAGAAGGGTTCTTACCCTCTTAGCTTAAAGGGGCCGGCCAGTGCAAATCGCCCCCGGCGGTTCCCCCAGGATCCGCCCCGCGGTTCCCCCGGTTACGCTCCCTTAGCTTAGCGTTGCTTATCTCAGCTTAGCTTAGCCTATATCATCTTAGCTTAGCTTAGCTTCGTATTAGCTCAGGTTTATCTTAGCTGGTTTACCTTCATCTTAGCTCCGCCGAGCTGTATCATAGCATAACACAGCATAGCATAGCGTAGCATAGCGCAACACAACACATCATATCATAGCCCAGCATAGCATACCATAGCCCAGCATATCATAGCATAACATAACATAGCATAGCGCAGCACCGCATAGCACAACGCAACATAACATAGCATATCATAGCGGAGCATCTCTCAGCGAAGCATGACATAACATATCTTATCATAACACATCATAGCATAGCATAGAATAGCACAGCATAGCGCATCATATGATGGCATAGCATAGCATAGCAATAACAAGTAATGTTGCTTTCCTAGGGGCTCCAACCTTTAGGTGAGGTCGCACTGGGGTAATCCCTCTTCTTCGCCCTGCTCGTCCTCGTCCCCGTCCTGCTTGTGTTCCTCCTTCTCCGCCATAGTCTTTCCACTTCTATTTTCTATCCTCTCTCATCCACACCAACATCCTTGTGAATGTTATTTTTTTTTCTGCGGTCCGCGCAGCGGCCGAATGCGGGTGCAGTCCCGGGCCTTTAGGACTAGGGCCAAAACGGCAGCGGGCAACGCGCTGTTGTAGCACGCGCGGTTTGCTACAAGACGTTCGGCGCCCCCCAACCGGAATCGTGTTCTGCGAGGGGCCTCCCGGAGCATGATCTGCACGATCTGCGGCAGGGGGGCAGAGAGGCTGCACTCTTCACACTGGGTGAATACAATGCTGCCCCAATGCCGCCTCTTACAAGCGTCTATTGTCGCACGCCGCCACCACTTCCTCGGCTCGCAGGCCGGGGCGCCTCAAGCGAAGGGGCGGCCTGAGGTTCATAAAATGGAATTTGGATGTCCAGACTCACTGATGCGAACAATCACATTAATGTGCGCGCGCACATATCCGCAGCTACCAGCAGGCCCTGCTGCAGCAGCAGCAACAAGAACTCAAGGGCTCGCAAGCCCTGGAGCGGTGGCCGGGCGCCGGGCTTTCCGCTCCTTGGCTATCGCACGTTGTGCATGGCGCAGCCGCCGACGATGTGCCTCCTCATCCTCCTGCTCGGCTGTCGGCGCCATGCTGAAAACCCCGGCGGAGGAACTGCAGTAGCACCTCGTTGGGATGCACGGCCTACGTCAGCAAGTCCGCCGGCATGTGGCTATTGGACAGCCACTTGTGCTCGATGGCCTCTGCTCGATAAACTTCTTGACCACCAACAGATCGAGGGAGTCTGCCGGGGCACCGGCATCGAACCGATCTTGCACGCGTGGTCGTAGAGCGACTTCGCGTCCGTAGCCAGCACCCCCGGGGCCTTCAGCGCCAGCCCCCAGTCCCCTTGCAAGAGTGGTTCCCCATACAAAATGGCCTCGGTGAGCAGCCGGAGGTAAATGCCGATCCAAGGCAACGGACATGGCAGCGGACTCGGCCGCCATAGTGCAACCAATCACTCGCGCGATAAAGCTCCTCTGGAACTTCACGAGAATACGCGCCGCCGACTCCGTCAACGCGAGCGCGTCCGTAGTCTTAATCATGCTCATGAGCCCCGCTCTTTCAGCCGTGCCCATCCGCGAACGAAGCGCCCACGAACGCAAGCACCTGCAAGCGCTCGATGCCCGCGCGGCGGGCCTGGGAAATCAGCATGCTGCCGTCGACGCGCAGCGCCAGCAATGCAATCAACTTGCCAGGCACCCCGCAAGCGAAGACAGCCCGGGCTCGGAGGCGCCACAACCGAGGCGCCTCCGTCAAATCGCGCGCTCCCTTCAGCAAGCGAAGCAAATCATTGGGCCGCGTGGAGCGCAGCTGGCCACCCAGCGCCGTCGGCCACCAAGAGCCCGTCTTTGGGCGCCCTCGCGCACAGTTCCCGCTCCAACTTCCACCCAGACAGGAACGCAGTCGTCGCGGCGAACGCTCGAAAGTCCAATCCATTGCAATTGCGATAGTCGCACGCGCCTATACGGCACATGGAGATGCGGTAGGCGAATCCGTTCTGAATAAACCAAACTGCGGGTCAAGATGGCTGGGGATAAAAAAGCGCGATTTCGCCTCAAGATGGCCAGGGATAATCACACGCGGTTTCGCCTCCAACTCTGGCCTTCGCCCCCTGTTCGTGCGAACCGAACGCATGGGCGCCGAGATGATATTGTCCTTCGGGATGCCCCTCTCCTCCTCCTCCTCGGTGACCAGCTCGACCGTGTCGCCGGCGATCCACTGCCGCCACTCGGCGGAGTCAGTCTCGTCAAATTTAGCCTTCTCATGCTTGTGAAGCGACGATGTGGGCCCAGTTCCATGGCGTTCTGCTCCATCGCGAGCGCGAGCGCGTCGCGCTCGTGCCGCGCCTCCTGCAACGATGCGTCGTGCACGGACGACGCATTGAACCGCTCCTCGTAAGTCAGCGGCTGCCGTGCAAGATCCGCGGGGGCGTTCAAACAGTACACAGCCTGTGCCTCAGCATCGGGCCTGTCGCGGTAGAAGAGAGCGAGGCCCACCCAGCTGTCCTCCATGCGCACGCTGGCACAGCTCGCGCCGTCGCCCTTGCAGGCGCACCGGCCCGCGGCAGAGAGCATCGCCGAAAGACGATTGCACTCCCGGTGGCGCTCGTGGTCGTGGAGGCGACGCCGCGGCACTCGATGCACGCGCACTCCTCGCACGACCCGCTGAACAAACGTGGAGATGCCTTCCAGGGCGCTCTGGTCGAACCATTATTCCTGGGGCCCCGAGCGCACCGCGGCGTTCGCGGCTACCTCTGGGAGCGTCTCGGAAGAAATCCGGCCTGGAAGCGAGCGAGATCGCTCCCTCTTTGGAATGGAAGCCGCGACAGCTGCTCCTGCTCAGTCGGCTCCTCCTCCTTGGCCTGCTCCTCGGTGGCGTTCAGGGCCTTCAGGTCCACGCGGGGCTGCCTCGGCGACTCGAGCTCTCGACGTCGTTCGCGATCCTCCTTGAAGAACGCCCTCCCCACCTTCTTGACCTTCGCTTTGGGCGCAATGTCCACGGCGAAGCGCGATCGTCTCGCTGCTGCGTTAACCGCGCGCCCGGCTGGATGGGCTCCGCGGCCGCGGCCCCCCGGGAGGGGGCGCGCCGAAGCTACTCGCGAACGACGAGTAGCACGTGACCGCGCCGCGATGAATAATGACGGTTGTTCTCTCTATTCGGGTTTTGGCACATTCGGGTTTTGGCATTGATGCATCCTTGCGTACTGTATACATCCTTGTATGATACCTGTCACGTGGTGATGCAAGTTGTAGGTTAAGTGATGCGCCGAAGGTTAAGTGGTACAAGTTGTAAGTTGTAAATGCTGGGCTAAGTAATGCAAGTTAAGAGAATGAATGCAAGCCGGGTGTCGAAGCACATGGGCAGCGATGCAACGTTATGGGCAGTAGCGTCGCACAGCGGCTTTCCAGG